AGGTACTGTTTTTATCTCGCGGGTTTTCCAAATCTTCAGAAAATAAGGTAGCTATTTTACTTGTTGGGTAATATGTACGGTTTTAACTGTGGGTTTTTTGTTTTTTCTTTTTCTTTAAAATGGTTTTTAATCAATTAGTGGAATATTCAATGACTTTCTTTGCGGTCACTGCTAAAAAAAAATGAGATGACTTCTTGAACGATGTATTATTAGTGAGACCTGTATTGCAGTCCTAGTAGAAATGGTTTAACATGAAAGGCTTTTAGAACGTTACATGTTTGGTTTAGCAAGCATTTTTTCCAATTTTCTAATATTCTAGTAGTTCATCGGTTACATAGTTTTTTCAGATGTTTATATTTTACTTCTGCCATATGTTATTACTCTTATTTTGATGGCTTACAGTGTCGTCTTGGACCGCTTTTTTATCCACTGATTCCCACCCTTCCACCTTTTCCGGTTTATATGTGCTGCATCAGATTAGCTGAATGTTTATTCAAGAGGGCGGGAGAAAAATGAGATTGAAGTTTTAAGTGCTGAAACTTATGCATATGACCTTTTAAAGATTCAAAAAGTAGGAGTTTTGGCGTAATGCACTATTTTATTGCTTTAGAAAAGTGGAGAGTTAAAAAAAAATTTGAGACAGTTTGCGTACAAATATTACAGTAATTGTTTACTGGCAGTGACTATTCTGTACGCCATTACTTTGCTGAGCAAGTTTTTTTCTTTTTTTGGAATACTTCAGTGATATTTTATTTTTTTTTTTTGTAATTTCTTTCTGATCTTCTGTGATATTGTTTTTGTTTTACTGTTTGGCGTTAATTAAAATACATCTTAAATGAGTTCTTGTGCGGTTTTTTTTCTGACTGATTGGTACTATCTCTTTGCTTTTTTAAAAATTAAGTGATTTCCTATTCTGACTATGCAGTGGTTCTCAGACCAAAATTTGCCCAGCTTTTCTTCTTTTGTTAGAGACATCTGGCACATGCGTACTTGTTGTATTAATTTTTTGGTGCGTAGCTACGCAGCATCCAAATGTAAAACTTCACATTAATAAGTAATATTTCAGGTAGTTTTATCGTTATATTCAACATTACAGTTTTTACAAGGTTGCTGAAGGCGTATTCTCAGGAAGCGTGCTTTGTAAAAAAGTAATACTCTACTGAGGTCCCATTCGTCATCAAATTCTGTCTTGAAAAAAAATATATATATTGACATGTCGAGAAAACGGTATTTTGTCAAGCAACATTTTTCTTCGTAACAGTACGTTTGGTTGAGTGCGAACCAGTAGTAACTTGAACACTTGTTTTCTTTTACAGTTTTGGATTATTTGCACTAATTTTTTGGAAAGTAAGAACTAAAAATATAGCATTTGTGGAATTAATTAAGCACGCAGTATTGTACAGAAGCAGATTTTGCATTTTTTTGGTGACTCTCCAAGAATGTTGAGTATGAGAGTGGATGCGCTAAGGATTATGACGAGCACTGTAGAAATGGTGGAGTGGCAGTTAATTGGTGCTGTAAGCAGAGGAAATTTTTGTGTAGTTTGACTGTGCTTGAAAAAGGTTGAGAGGCTATATATTCTTTCTCTGTCCAATTGTATGTTTTGTGTTGTATTTAGTTTATTGTGTCCTTGAAGACCATTCGCTTGTATGCGCGAACGTTTTCCTGAGGTTTTTAGGATCATTTCAAGCGAAGTTTAATGCGTTATTTTCCCCAGATTTAAGCCAGCATAGCATCTATTTCGCGAAAAAATGGTCATGATAAGTAAATAAAGTGTGTTACAAATCACTGTTTCCGAAACTGTTTTGGTTTCCATTAATTTTGACCAAATAGGTATGCCCGTTTTATAACATTTATTTTCTCCTCAACTCGTACTTATTTCTTTATGACTTTTTAGTTTTGGTTGGATTTGTTTCCTCACTCCGTATAAGAACTGCTGTGGATTTTGCCCTATACGACGTTTAAATTTTGTTGGATTATTGCAGCGTTTATAGCGCAAAAAGAAAATATTGCTGTACATCCATATTTTTCAAATATGAGTTATTGTAACTCTTGCTATTTGAACGGATCTTTATTATAAGACTGAATACCAGAATTTATGAGTTACAACATGCTTACAGATGTGAAAGACAGCGATGAGTTTTCTAAATGTAAATTTTGACTTGACTAATGGCATCTGAAATTGCTCTTGTTTTATTTTCTAGGACCCTATTATTTGACTTATAAATAAGGTGGGAACTATGCTTATGACAAGTTAATAAAGTGTTTGGGTAATTTAATCGTGGCATTCCAAAAAAAGTTGTTCTTATTCTTTTTAAACACTTTACAAAGCAAAAAAGAAGATGGAGAGGGATAGCTTTAGAGGTGGCAGAAAAAAATTTTTGATTTGCCGTCGTTTGTTGCTTCATTCGTATGACGAGCAGGTTCTTCTCCACTCAGATCTGAGCAGTAAATAAGAGTTTGTGAATTCGTATTAAAAGAGGTTTTGTGTTTTAAATCACTGAGGATTCAACTACAAGGTTGCAATAAAAGAACTATTTAAAATATCAAGGTTAGCTTCTTCAAAGTTTTTTTTGCCTGGAATGGTTGCGGTATTATACCTGTGTTTTGGAAATAAACATTTTTTGTTTTTCTCAACTAAACTCTTGATTACCATGGTGGACTGAACTTCACATGCTTTATACCAGGCAAATAGCGGGCATACCGAGCAATTGGTACAGAAGCATAGTTAAGGACAATAAAAAAGTCTAACTGAGCAGGAAACTGTTAAAGATAAGCAAAAAAAGTCAATTGGCACAGTAAATTAAGGAAAAAGCAGTAGGGGGAACTTTCGCGTGTAGCTCCGCTGAATGGAAAAACTGCAAATAATTTTTGGTCAGAACAAATGTTTCCAGTTATTTCCCGGCTTTTCCACTTCTACGATAAGTATTCGTTTGGGACGGAGCAGCGCTAAAAGTTTACAAAAGTAATTTTATTTAAAAAATTGATTTATACCCTAATTTATTCTCGCGTTCAGTTGCTATCGCCCACAATTTCGGTCTACCACAAAGAACCCAGTCTCCTAGTTTTTCTCACTGCAGTGGCCCCTGAATTTTCGCAAAGCACTTGAAGCTTTTAAAAGTACTATTCCCTTTCTATCTTTGTCCATCACATCACAGCACCATCTTCTTGTTACCTGTTTAATAGATTTTTTTTCTTTTTTTTAAATTTTCCATTCTTATTTTAGATTTGCTTACTCAATTCAATAAGGCAAAACTTGACTACTCTAGCAGCAATAAATCAGAAACAGTAATCATAATTTGTCTTTAATACTAACTTCAGTAACACTCACTTTATTCGTTAAATAGGCTGTAAACTTCAATTTACAACCGGTACGCTTGACAGTATGCAACGACTGCAGCACAGACAACAACGAAGAATATTTTGGAATTAGGTACCAAACGAACCTGTTTCTGCGCTTCAAACAGAATTCCGAGTTACACTACATAAGTTCAGGAACTCTGTGCAGTGTCTCGCACCATTTAACAGACTTCCACTCAACGGTGTATTTATAAAAAAAAATACCGCAAGAATAAGGATATTGGTATTTTTCACCACAAATCTTTGAACTTTTGGCTGCGTTATCGGCCTTAAACCTTGAATGACGGAGTGCTTTTGATATGGACAGGTAGTCACTTGAGCATACGCAATCTGGCTTGGAATTTCAGTCGAAGATTTGTTAAATCAGGCAGCGGTATGCAGCTGCAGGCATTGAAGCACAACAATGCCAAATGAGAAAGATAGAAATGCGTTTTTTTTTTTGTAAATATTACAGCATTTGTCGGCAACAACTGCACGTCAAAGGGTTTTTTGTCAGTCTTTCTTTAACTAATTGTTGTTTTCAGGATATTTCAGGATAGTAGCATCTCGTTTGCAAAATGCAAAGACTTGTGTAAGTTTTACCTCTTGCTCTAAAAGCAGAAGGTTTTTGAAATGAACTAACTTTGTTATGGCTTATAGTAGCACAAAATAACTTGTCTTCATGAAAAAGGTGCTGTCGTTTGATAAAAGGAGTTTTAGCAAATCATCAGGGTACTTCTAAGGTAAAACCGTCTTTGTGTGCGCAGCGGAGATAACTACTAATCAGGAATTACGTCGTTGAAATTGCTTTCATATTGCGACTCCTGTCTATCTCGAATAGCCCATACATTTTTAAAAAGAATTTGTTGTGAAATTTAGTTTGAAGGATAAAACTGATTAAGCATTGGCGGAACTGCTAAATGAACTTGTCATCAAAGCTTTTTGCAGTAATTTTGTTGGATTGATTTTAAAGCAATAAATGCCGGAACTTTTGACAATTTAATAACCAGGTGAACTGTTTTGCTCACTGTCTTAAGTAATCGTTTAGAGTGAGGAATGAAGTTTAGACCACGTACTTGAGATAAGAGCGAAAATTAGTTGCTTATCTTATGCCAAATTTGGAAGTTCAACAAGAAAGTTTTTAACTGTTTTTGTTGGGAAAAGTAAACTGAGAGAGCTTCCTACACCTTTTTATGATTCTTACGTAGCTTCATTTATTCTTCTCAGTTGCATTTACAGCGAGTCGAATTTAACGGAATAAGGACTAACAGATTACTAAAGCAACTTTAATATCATGTGGACAGAACTGTAGTCCTTAAATAGCGCGTTTCATAACAAAGCAGAAGAAAGAAATTGATTTTGTATGCTCAGAAATATGTGGCTTTACTTGCGGTATGGTGGTGGCGATGTTTGGAGATGAGTTAACAATGGAAATTCTTCTACATTCATCTCTTTCGTCTTGGGCAGAAAGTCGTCTGTACAAATTTTTAATGTCTATTTATGTTGAAAATTACTCTTATATAGGGATTGGTTTTGAAATTATTCTCTTTTACTCTGAAATGCTTTGAAAATCTTCCTCGAATTGTGAATTCTGAATAATCGTCGATCATTACTTTCTGCTTTCGAAAAGTGATCTTTGAGCAATCCTCTAATGCAGAGGAGTCAGACAAAATGTAGCAGTCTTTGAATGGAATCAAGCTGTTTAGAAAAGAGTTCCATGACATTAACAACGAAAATTAATTTTTGTGATGGAAGGGTTAGTTTATAATTATGACTGCTTAGTCGTAAAAGCAGAACCTCAAGGCTACAAAATTTTAATATAGAATGTACAAAAAATATAGCTGGAATGTTTCCCAGCAGCATAAGCCCGGATTTCTGACGAATATTCAAAACAGGCACACAGTCCTCCAAATTATGTTGGAGGGTTATAAATAGCTGCGGGTTTTAAAAGATACTTTCTTTCAGAACCACAGTGGGAATAGCATACCTAGTAGCCGTTACACATGAGTTCTATACAGGAACCTTTACAGCTGAGTATTCATCATCATCTTCAAATCTTATAGAAATGCGTTCTAATCGGTATCCGTTTCGCAATTGCAAAGTTTTAGTGAGTTCTTCTGTTCTTATTCCACTTTTTTCATTCAGTAATTTGGGTAAAACCAACAATGATTTTTCTGTGGTAATGCATAAATGTCGGAATTTTCTTTTGTTCAAGGCACTTCAATATTTTTGAAATTTCGCACCATACCGGTATTTAGCATTGTAACTGTTAGTTGAAATAAAGATTTTACTCATTTTTCAAATCGAGTATGAATCAATGAAAAGTTTTTAAAACAAAATACATTCAAAAATTTCTTGAAATAATATATTTCAGGATGGTATACATCTCTATTACAACGATATGTACATCAAAGAGTTAGACGTCGCCGAGCAGACAGATTTGGATATTTATAGAAGAAAACTACAACTATGGAATAGAAATCTTCAAGATAGAATTAAAACTGCAAGTTTTTTGAAGTATTATAACTTAAAAAACATTTTTAAAAAATAGTTAAGAATCAGTCAGAACTTTTTTCTAGTTTTTTACCTATCATATGGGACGGAAAAACTGAAGATTTTTGTAATCAAGCTAGTGGGAAGTTTAGAGCACTGCAAAAAATAACCGCTGTAGCAGTGCGCTCGTGAAAAAGATTCTCAACACTATTTTCTTATGAATTCCATCAAGTCACAGACTCTTGAAAGTGCTATTTATCAACAAATTTTCATGTGAAATTTTAGAGATAAACTTAAAAGTTTTTTGGAAGTATAGTAATAAGCTTTTTCGCAAAAACAATTCATAGAGCAAAATTCACTGAGGACTCTCCCATGACTGCAGATTTTTCAAGTGCGAGTGCCGTTGTTTAAAATTGTCTGCCGGTTTTTTTAGCTGGCACTTTAACACCGCTAGCTGTTCTTTTCAAACTTATCTCTGGCAAATCTTACGTAAATGTGATTTTAGATGTTATGTAAAAGGTGTACTGTTTCCTGCTCAGAGGGCCTAATAAGCTTACTGCCCAGAAGAGTAATTTCAAGTATAAGCAGCATTGTGAATGCAAATTTTTGTGCCTCCTATACAAGATATATTACTCTACGCTTAGTTACAGCAGTCAGCCGAAGCCACATTCTTGTACTGTTTCTGAGTATGCTCTTTGTCCACCACCAAACATCACCAGTGTGGTCGGATGTTTTAGGCTGCTGAAGAAAATATAAGCACGAACGCGGTGGGTGGGTTTTGAGAAGGGGTGGCTGAAAAAAGTGATGTGAATTTTTTTTTGAACAGTTAGATATTTATTATGTGATAGTGGGAAAGAAAATAAAAATTTTAGTTTCTACTACCGCAAGTTCATGAATAAGCTATGAAAAGTTGAGACATAGAAGGCGAATTTGACGCGTTCTTTTTTTGAAGTACAGTTTTTTTTTGTTCTTGGAAAATGCCGGAAAGATTGCTGCAGTACTAGGTGATCATTTGTTTTAAGGACATTGCGAAGCCCGGCAAGTGTCAAGCAGTCTTAATTGTGATATTCTTGTTGAGGTTTCAAACGGAGCCTTACGAGATCGTGGTTTTTACCTTGACAAATGTGGGGACGAAATTATAGTGATTTTCGTGAACTCAAGGCACCAGTACCGGTTTACAAGATCCTGCGTGGATTAAGAGCTGATGGAGGTTTAGGTAGTCTCTTTTGTCTTAAAACTGTTAACTGGTAACAGCCAAGACTGTGGAGCAGCTTCAGCAGATTTGTCTCGCTTAGCAGGCGTTAATAATTGCTAATTTTTGAAGGATTTTTTATAGCAAGGTGTGAGAATGGCAGACGATAGGTGTTCAAATTCCTCTTCATTTATTTGGAATCAATTCGTCAGCAAAATTTAATTGAATGATGGATTAGAAATATTTATTTAACCGTCTTAGCAATTCAACAATAAGTTCTGACTGGCAACTTTGAAAGGTATTCACATATTTTACAGATAGTAATCAGAAGATTTTTAGGGTAAAATTTATATTTATGCAGGAAAGGTGGAAAAAATTTCTTAAGGACTTATTAATTAGAGATTTTGTTTTCAGTTGTCGTAAATTTTATATAATCTATTTTTCCAAAGCGTTCAGAACTGTTTTTGTTAACTTGGCTCTCATTATTAGTATTTTTTCACTGTAATTGTCTTTAAGAACTCCTCTTCTCTCTTTCTTAGCTGAATTCTATATGGAATTTGCAAGTTTGTGCAGAAACGCTATTTAAGATTGCTTTGATGGATGAAATTCAAAAACTAGACTGAACTATTTTGTAGTTGTATTGGATGGAAAACATTCAAAGATTGTTAGACTAATCTCTTGATTAGGGGAATTGTTGAGCTTTCTGCAGTATTGTAACCAAAATTGAGTAAAATTTTATCTTCAGTATATCAGTAAATACATTACTATTTTAGGAACTTGATTTGCACAAAGCAGCAATGGAGGATATACAAAAAGAAATGGATTCTTTCTCAAAAAAAATGCAAATAACTATAGATCACGACTTTGGCAACAATTTTAATGGAGAAAACATGGATCAGATGGACTCAAAGGATTTTTTTAAATCTGTGTCATTCTCAGATCACCAAAACAGCGTGCACCCACAGTCGTTAAGTAAAAGTGTAGCTGCGAAACCACCCATGTCTTCTACGTTTCCAAGATCACCGTCTTTTTGTGATTTGTGAATGGTATTTGCCCTTCTTGAGCAAATTAAAATTGTTCTCGTTCAATTAGAGTTGTTTTTTAACAAGACCTTCAAATTTTGAAATTAAGTTTTTTTCTGATATTATTTTTTCGTCATAATTTTTCTTGACAATATTACTTGCTATTGCCTTCTTGATGACAGCCTTTTTCGTCCTGCAGTTTAAAGCATAGAACTTCGAGGGTATCATTCTACCATTACCATTTTATTTCAGTACTTAAGAACAATGGTTTTTGTCAATATTTTCTAAACAAGTGTCCATTGCTTCACTGTTAACATTCATCTGCGCACTACCATTGTTTTTCTTTGTCTATCTTATTTCTTGACTCCCAAAAGGCGAACAAATATTAAGTGTAGAATGATAAGAAGCACTGTTGGTAGAGAAGATCTCTAAATGCGCGGTTAGCATTCTTTTACACCGATAGAATACTTATATAATTTTTTGTCTGTTAAGTGAGACATAAGCTATTGTTGAGCGAAAAATGAGCAGTAGACGGAATTTTCTGCATACAGAAACATAATTATAATACAACGTTAGTGTTTATTGGTTGCACTTGAGTCGATAAGACAGTTTTTTTATTGCAAAAGCTCTGACTACATCATTAACAGTGTGGAAGGTTCTTCAAAACCACTTGGCGTTTTTCTTCATCTTCACTGCGCAAATCTTATGCGCGTTATGTGATTTCAGTTTTTGAGCCCTGACGGACATTTATGATTTGTTCTTACACCTTATAATCCTTCATCCTTTCCAGAGCAAAAAAAAGTTATAAATTTTGCAGAATAGCTGCAGGAAGATTATGCCTCGATTGATAGCAATGAGCAGGGGAAGTTGAGTACATGTGATAATTTAGAAGTTATTTTCTCAATTAGAAGTTTTCGTCTCGATTGCTTTGTTTCTCTTTTGCCAATATTAGGGGGTGGGAATAGTGTTACTATGGTTTCCACCTGTCATTCCCTGTGCCGTTTCAGATAAGAGGCGTTTTTGAAGAAGAGCAACGCTTCTACCAGCCGAAGTCGCTGCTTTGCTAGAACAATCTTGTATAGCTGAAGACATCTCAAGTTTTTGCTGGTTTGTTCGCTCCAGCTGTCTCCTCAAGAAGAAGCGACGCTGCATTGTTTAAAAGTAACTTCACTTCTGCTTTCAAATGGATGAAGAAGAGCCCTGCTGCCATCATCACAACATTGCGGGATAGCGTGGTACCTTTTTCGGCGCCATCTCTTCAAAAAGTGACAGCCCGGAGCGTCGATCTACTGCGGTACAATAGTAAACCATCGTACATAATTGAGTGTTACAGACACTTTATAAAAGCAATATCCTCAACTATAAGCAATACTTTTGTTTACTAATGGAACAACAGCTTGGGCTCCAAAAAAAAAAACGCGTCGGCAGTGTCGTGGAAAGGACACGAATTCAGTGCAATTTTAAAGAACCCGCTCAAATGGACGGTGAAGGATTTGAACTCAGAGGGAATTTAGAGGTTTAGAGGGATTTTATACATTTTACAGGGTAAAACTAAAATTTTTAAAACTCAAGTTGCGAATGGCATTGAATTATCTTACCTCACTGGTTTTACAAGTACTTCTTCCTATAAGAAAAGGACGAGGACTTCTTGGGTCTAAAACAAAGAGCTGGCTTAAAATACACCAGTAGCGGTTTTGTATCACACGGAACTGTCTAGCGGTAGTAAAAGTTCAATATTGAATTTTGCTAAGAACTGACTAGAAGGTCGAAAAGAGTGTGAACTGTTATTCAGTCAACTATTCGCTTTTTTAAAAATGATTTCAATAATTATATAGATAAGAAGACGTACCTTATTCGTACATGTACTTTTTTGGTTCATTTTGTTTACTTACTGAGGAGGTTAAAAAATTTCTTGAGTACAGCTCATTTCTAGGGACTACACCAATGCATTTTATTCTCTCGACTGGGTTACCAAATCTAGCAAAATTATGGACGGAAAATTTTAGTGTAGTCTCCTGCTTCTAGCTCCATGTGGTGGTCAACAGCAAGTGTGTCAGTAGAAGCATGTGTTTAAATTCTAAAAGCTCGTCGTTTGCCAGCTCCACTAACAGAATGGCAAAAAAAAGTATAGTATTGATGGGTGTTCTGTAAATATTTTAAAGTTGCAAATGACTTGACGCGCACGAAGAAAATTCTTCTTATTCAATAGTAGGTTATCGGTAGGTGAGGTATATTCTCCAATTTCTTTACAGTTCTTAAAGTTATTGGACCACCGCTATCGATATCTGAATGTTACAGTACACGCTGCCACTAACTGTTTTTTTATCTAGCAAATCAGATTTTGTATCTGGATTTGCCTGTAGGGCCTAAACCACTGTTTCTTATTAAGAGCAACATCTCCTTTCAGAAGGTGACTAAGAATGCTCAAAGACTTACAGGAATTGTGGGAATAACAGAACGGTGGAAAGATAGCCAAAGGGCCCAGATAATTCTCACAAAATTAGTGTAGTAAATTTTTGAATCGACAGCTGGATGAGGTGGGTTTAAGTCAGGAAGGACATCTAGGCTTTGGATAACGCATTAAATAGCCTCTTTTTGTAATTGACTTACTGTATCGCTGGCTTTTCTGCCATCACGCTTAACCAAGACTTTGTATAGTAAATTAACTCTTCGGCCTGTTTTTTAAAGTCTTTATTTCTTGAGTCTTCGCAAGAGGAACCTTCTCTACTTAATAGCTCAAAAACTCTTAAGCGATAAGCATTTCTTTGACCGACCATTTACATTAGAGTAACAATAATTTATATGCCTGCTACTGTTTTTGGCATTCTGCTCTATTAAAGATTCTAGCGTTTATGCTTCAATTTTTAGAAAGAAGTATAGTACAGTAGCATATTTTTCTGCGGCAGTAACGATGATTGAAAGAGTTCAAAAATTTTTGTTTTTTTTTCACGTTTTGAATTTTTCCTTTCTTATCAAATTTTGACTGTGGAGACGCCATGTTGTTCCCAGACATTGTTATGTCAAAAAATTTGAACTTATTTTGCAGAATTAGCAATTTTCAAGGAGCCAATTCAACTGAAGAATGAAGAACATGTGAAGATTAAACATTTGCAAGGAATATTAGATAATAGAAATTGGGGGTAAGGCGCCCATCTACAGGGAGAAGAAAGACACAACTTAGGGTAGTCAAAGCAGCCTGTGTGTTTGTTCTCGACAGATAGATGATAATAAAAGGAAACAAACTGTCGGTTTTACGTATTTTTCGTATTTTTCTACCGCATTTTGTTGAGGACATTTCTTTTGAACTTTTTCAAGAATTTTTGGTGACAAAATTTACATTTATTTCGTTCAAGTGTTTATTAGCATTCTGAGTAAAGACAAGGTTACCATTTCTTTTCTGACCGACTACCGCACTTGTAAAATAAATTGCAAGATTACCATCAAATTTTTTTTTAAAATGCTGTTAATCGTTTAATTGTTGTTGACAGTTCCTCTCACTTTTTCTATTTCTTTTATTTTTTCTTTTTTCTTGAAAAAGCTTGAGTAAAATTTAAAAATCAGAGTTTTTGTAAAAAAAAATAAAACAAAAGAAGTAACTGCTCACTGTTTAAATACATTAATTGATTAAAAAAAAATTTGCTTGAATAGGAATAACTTCGTTTTTGTTGTAATATCATTTTTAAAGCTGAGTTTTTTGTTTATTAAAACAATGACAATATGAGTTCTACTTTTTTTTGAGGGTTAATGTTAAAACAGGCTACTTATCCTTTATTTGCTGCAGATTCGATTATATGTTTCTAGTTTTTAATATTAAATTCAATTTAGGTTTGCTACTGACAGTTGTTTGCGCGTAGTCTTCTCTTTCTGCATGTGGGTTACAATGTAAGCGATAAACGTTGTTAGAAAATTAACGAATTAGTTGCAAACCAAATGACTGTGAGATACAGATAGTGTTCTGCTTCAACACAGTTATTTCATCTTCCGAAAATTGTTTTTATAAAAACTCTTAACTTTCGTTTCAAATTCCTCACTAGAGTTTTGATACCTTGACGAGCAACTTTGATTAGTAATACAAATGGCAATGTTTCTTCAGAAAATCAGAAACAAACCAAAAAAACAACCAACTTCAAAAAAGCATAAATGTTTAAGCAATGCTTTAAAAATTTTAGTCAATTTACGATAATGGTGAAGAGAATATAGGAGTACTTATAATCTCTTGTATTTGTAAACTGCCAACTTTGATTTTCAAAGCTTCTTTTTAGTTCAAAATCAGCCATCTAATTAACAGTATGGTCTTTTAAACTTTTCTTTCCTCAATAAAAAAATTTACACTGGAAGTTGCCAATCATGATTTCAAACAGTTTCAGCTTAGCGTTACTTTTCTCCACTACCTTATGCAAAGCCCAGTTTGGAGGCAGTCAAAACAATGACGAAACTTTGATTTATGCATTGAACAACCCGCCGAGAAGCTGTGCAGTTCGGGTACGAACGAGTCGATTATAATTTGATACATTGTATTTCAAAAAACATATTAACAAAAAATTCGTCGTTGATAGGTTATGACTATTTTTAATTGCAAAAACAACATGTCTTACATAGATGACATTTTGTTTACAGATGAATTTGACAGAAAAGTGCTCTTTACCTCTATCTGATGTAGTCATCCTTTATTAATGACACTATTTCTCATTATAATTATCCGAATTGCAGCAATACAAAAAAATTTTTACTGTTGAAATATAGTAAAATTAATCACGGTAAAGAAAATTTGTATAGTCATTCAACCCCTACTTGTACTTAGCAAATTATGCAATTGAAAGTTTTACTAGTAGAAGGAAAACTGATTGAAAACAAGAGATAAATGCAAAGAAGTTATTTTAGTGTCTGTGTTCTTTTTGAACATTTTCTTTTGTAAAACGAAATTAAAATTTTCTAAAAATTTTTTTTAGATTGTAAGATTTAGGAATACAAACAAAGTGGTTCAGCGGTATATCAATCAACACAACAGCAGTAAGATTAGTAGATTGAAAATGACTCAAACCAATTTTTGCAAGGAAGGGAAGCTGATTAAACACACTGAAGACATATTGACTACCTAATTGGCACTAGGCAAAAAAATGAGTGACTTAGTGTTTTTGCTCTTCAAAAATAACTTTCTTCCGCACTGAATCTTTAAGTTTCTTTACAATTCTAGAATGGTGATTTACTTTTCATTAACGGTCAGTACAGTCGCCGATTAACCAGACCAGAACGACGAGAATTGGCAAGCTATAAACGACGAACCGATAGAAGAAGGTTTCCAAGAGCAAGCCGGTTTTACTCCCCAGGGTTCGCTCAGGTACCAAAATTTATTTTATTTAAATCCTTTAGACCTACAAACTGGCCTTGATTTTGAACCTCACACTTACTATTATGGGTCTACCTCTGATGCTGTTCAAAAACAATTTTTTTTCAAAGACTATGATAAAAAGCTATTTTTACTGATTTTTTTTACTGTTTTAACAAAATTACCAATAAAATAACAACAGAAAACTACTTTTTATTTTACC